AAGCTTAATAATCCTTTCTATGGCTTTGTAAGCGTTTCCACTGCTGTCATGGTTGAATTCATGTAGCATTTCCAAGTGTGCAATACTGACCCATTACGTCATGGCAAACTTTTAAATACATGAATATGCTGGTACCAATGACTCTGTTAGTTCGTTTCAGTTGCTAAATTTTGAAGTTATCAAACTAATTTGAATATTATCTGGAGAAGATCTTCAACAGACTCATGTGAGCTATGATAGAATTTTAATTCTCACAAATTTTAGTAATGTTCCAGGACAACTATTAGATAACTTTGTACCCTCATCACTTAATGCTGCAGCAGTATTTTTAAAAACAGTTTAGAATCCCATATTCTTCCTCCTTTTTTTTTTTTTTTTGCTTTTATTGTACATTGTTAATGGGTTTCACAAGGTATAACTGTACCATTCAGATACTGAAAGGAATTTGCTTCAATATTCCTTCAAGTCCTAGTATCTGGGTTTCAGAGTAGCATCAATACTATTCTGTCTTTACCCAGGCTTTTATGCTTACCTTTACTTTGACCTGTGAAAAAGATATGCAACAAAAGCAAAGAAAAAGAAGATTTTTATTAAACTTGCTGAAGCAGATCAAATAGAAGAAACAGAAGTTTCCAATTTTGCTGTTGTTACAGAGATACAGATATTGCCACTCTGCAGGCTTGGGAAAATACCGGTTTTGACAAGTAATGACATAATTGTACAGAATATGTACAGAAACAGTTCTTTTTAAAGGAGTATATTGTATTCTTCAGAGCTTGCTATTTTTTTCTGCCTCCTCAGTTGAGAGGAACTCTTCTGTACTCTATGCTGTTAGATGTTATTTTTTGGTTTGTTTCATGTCCTTGTCCTGCAGCTGAAATGAATTTGTAACATATTTAAAGATGCTTAGAAATCTGAGGGAATTCAGTCAAACACATACGAAACAAAGAGCTACTGCAGAAACTACTTGAAATTGGTGTAATTATTTTCAGTAAAACAATTTAATTTTGCTATATCCTCACAAAACTTGAAGTTCTTAGCTTGTGAATACACCTTAAAATTTGGAAAGGATGATGAGGAAAAAGGATTTACGTTATTATGGTGTGCATACATTTATTTATATTTTTATTCTTCTGCCAGTGTAACAGTAAATGTTTAAAATATTTCTGTGTTTTACTGTAGTTATTACACATTTTCTATTATTGAAAAGTGTTATTTGTTAGGAATAGCCAAGTTAGTATCAAAACCAGTAAGATAATAGCAATTTCCAATCAAAATCCTATGAGATTGTGAAATATTTCTGGTAAAAATAGCTCCAGTGAATTGATTCAATTAAATTTGGATGATATGGCTTGCTACCCAGTGAAGGTGAGAGATCAGAAGGACAATACTCGTCTGAATTACCATCTGTTAACAGTCTCTGATAATTTAATAAACTACTTTCATCAAAGCTTCAATTCAGTAGATTTTTACTTAATAGTTAAACCAGGCTTTAGGTTTTTAGTCTTTTCTTACAGTGGTGATATCTAACTTCTCATGTGGATGTGGGTAGTTTCTTATATTTACAGCTTTGGAAGGAGCAGTTTGTTTCCACTAAAATGTTGAGTGGTGCTGTAGCCATGGGAAGTATCATAGTTACTTAAGTTCCATAAACCAATTGCATGTGAAAATACACAGTTATGTTTGTGTAACTGCACAGCTGTGATTTAAATTGCAATAATTTTTAGGATTTTTTTGTTTGTTTGAATAAGTAATACATGTTCTAAGTTCTGTCCCTCTCCCTACCTTTTTTCCTTAATAGTTTGATGCCTTCCATTTTCCAGTAAGTGGTCCTGGGATTTTGAGGTTGTTCTGGGTTGTTCATCTTGTTTTAATCTAATCTTCCCCAAGATTCATAGATCAAAGATCTATATAGATACAGAACCACTAAAAAAATAGAGACAGGCCTTGGAAATGAGGATCATAGCTTAAATACAGAATGTTAACACAGAATTTAATAATGGTCAGGAAATGTTTGTTTTTTTTAAATAATGATTTTGCTAACATGCATAAGAGCTGTTGCAGTGACATTGACCCTTAGCTGAACTGTCTGGTTTCGTGTCCAAGCCATGTTCTCCAGCATAAGGGATGTTTATAATCTTGGGGATTATTCTATATTAATAGTTTATGTTCTTTAAAATGGCATTTTAATGTGACTTTTCCCAAATTGCAAGTTAAATAAATTTGACAGAATCCTTCCATTCATTTGAAAACTGACAGCAGCAGAATCTGACAATGAAAAGTGACAAATTCATAGAGCAGTCAAATTTTCTGCCTATTTGCTTTTTGATTAGAGGCTTGTTGCTGTTTTGGAAATAAGCCTATAGACCTGGGATATATCCACAAAAGGTTTGGCTTTGGTTTGGAGGTACTCGAGAAATTTAGAAGACCTTCTTGTGCATCTTGCAAAACACTGGAAGAACCTACCCCCAAAAAATTGCTATAAATCTTATCCAAGAATGTTTCCCTCTTACATAATTCAGAAGGTCTTTTTAAGGTTGGAGAATGCTGCTGTTTCTACAACTTATTTTGTCTCAAGCAAGACTAGATTTGTGACAGAGAAGAATATGTAAGAATCTGAAAACATCAGAGTTCACAAAGGTCATTTAGAAACACTGATACTGGAATCTCTCCAAAGGCAGTTACTGTATGAAAAAAAACCAAACAAACCAAAACAACCCTATTGTTGCCGTGAAACAGTGGGAAATGACTGGATAAAAGACATTTTTTTCAGAGAGTCTCGAAGCAACAGGTATTGGAACTAATTACTCCTCTGTTCCTACAGTCCACCAAAAAGTTAATCTTAGAAAATTTTAAGTTTTTTTCAAGCCACTTCACTTTCTTATGCCTTTTTGTTACAATTTCTCTGTTAACCTGTGAAGTATGGGTAGACTGTTGCTCTAGAGTGTATCTCTTTAGCAGCCCAGTGGAGAGAAGATGAAGTTGGGGGCAACCAAGGGAAACACGACAGCTGCTCTAACTCTACCTATTTGGACATTTTTTTCTTCATAGCTCTTGTGTACTTTAGACCTGACATTTTCTTTCTTGACTTTCAGTCTGAAGTGGTTCCACATAACTGTGCAAGAACATGGGCTTTCTTTTCTGGGGCGCTGTACACTGGAAACAACATATGAGCTATCCTTCATGACTAAGTGAAGTTGCTTACCCAATGATTACAGTGTAACCTCTTTTCAAAGTCATCACTTCTACATACCTTAAATCCTTTTCCAGTCTGCACAGTAAGCATGGTGAAGTGTGAATATCTAACATGCAAAGTGTGCTTGTGACTTTTAGCTTACACTTTGAGACATGTTTGCCTCTCTGTAGTGCTGCAGGAAAAAAAAAAAAAAAAAAAAAAACAACAAAAAAACCCCACAACACAGAAGTATTTGCTTCAGATTTTTATTTTTTAAATCTCCCCCAAAATATTTCCAGTCAATCAAATTTTGCCTGGTAGCACTGTTATCTTCCTGGTCTGTGGAAATAAGGTGTACATAGTGTACATAATCACACTCCCTGTCAGTTCTCCTAAAAGCTAATTTTAGCCAAACTTGATGTAGCTATAAAGGTTGTTTAGGTTTCTGGTGAAAGTGTAGAGAGATGGAAATTAATATTTCTACGGAGAGCATAGTGGCAGTAATATGAGCACTTAAAAAGATGATGAGCTGTTAGACTGTCTTTTCTAATCAGACCCTAGGTATTTAAAAATTGTTGTGTTCTTAAAAACTAGATACAATTTTTTTTTCTTCAATTGAATTGCAGAATGCTTTAAAATTAAAAAAAAAACAAACCTTATCTGTGATTTTTAGAAGTATATGTGAATTGCTTTTAAGTGTTTCTTCTTGAATATATCTCCATTTCTGAATATGTATCCCATACAATATTAACCAGTGAACTTTTAAGTAGGACACTGAATAGAGGAAAAATAGGCATAGCTATATATTATACACTACTCTGTTTTGCAGTTTATGGATGATCATGTCCTGATCATGTCTCTGAGTTTTAAGATGATATTCCTATATATGGTCTGGTACATTACACTGCTAACTCACTGACTCTGTTGTGTGTGTACCTGTGAGTGATATGCTGCACCTTCTCTTTTTCAGACCTGCACGGTGTGGGAAGACTCTTCTTGTTACAGTTAATACCAACTTAGTCATGGCATTGCTATATGCATTTGTTTTTCAAAATTAAGAAGTTTTTTTATAGATAATTTCACAGCTCTGGTATAGCTTTCAGGAAGCCATCATTACTGCCATTAGAGTAGTCAATAGCAATGATAGTGACTAGGTAGAAATTTACTGGTGGGCATGCATGTCTCTCACTTACTCAAAATTGGTTAGAAATGTGGAGGAGTTCAAAACTGAGTCATAACTTGACACTGCAGAAGCAGCTTCCTCCCCCACCCTTCTCACTCCTAATTCCTGTCCTGCCAAAACCACTGCAACAATAGAAGCCTGCAGGAAAGGTAGGATGGGGAGTCTTTATTCAGAAGTTTACTTAGTGTAACATAATTGAGTTTAAATGCTTGAAATATATATATCAATTCAGTTTGAGCATAATTAGTTTCATTTAGTAAATGAGCATCAGGCGGTTGTGCTGACTCTGCTAAAGATGCAGTTCAGTTACTTCACAGTACAGAACATTTGAAAATCGTATTGCTGGTTTAAGGAGTCTCATTCCTGCCCATGCCTATATGGTATGCTGTTTCTGCAGGTGTGCTCTAGAACTGTTTTGTGTTGAGAAGCTGTGAAGCATATTTAAGAGTCACTCCACCCCTCCTCTCAAGTACTGAAAATCTAGATCAGTTCATAGTGAGCCCCATAAAAAGTAGAACTGACACAACTGAGGGAGTGGTGTGCTCAGGTATAGGGTCTGGGATGAGCAGGCACAGTGAGAACTTCCTAAGATGGTACTGTTGAAGTTTGGGTGTTGTGAAGACTATTGCCTCAGGCTCTAGTATGGCTCCATTAATACAAACAAGGATTGTTGCAAAAAACACAATAAATGCCTTAAAGTAAGTGTTACTTTCAAAGTTGAGGACATATGAAACTTGCCTTGAAACTGAAAACTGAAGAACAAGGAGCAGAAAGGAGAATAAAAATGGATTATGATTAAAATGGTGAAGGCAAGAGAAAAATCAATTTTTGTCTTGTTTCTTGAAGTTTAAATTATCTTCTTCTGAATAAGAATGAAATTGTGTAAGTGCAGGTGTAACCAAAGACAGCTAATTGGCTAATTGACTAGTTATATCTTGTCTGCTTTTTACAGTGGCTTGATTCAGCCTTTCCAATTTCAAGTGTTAGATCATTTAAATTGATAGCTTTTCTGGCATAATAATGAAGTAATATGGTGCTGAATAGGGATTACCCCTGTTCACAGGGAAATCAGCCTGTCCAAGTTAATGCACAGGGTTAACAGTGCATAAAATTTCAGTTTTATAATATGTTTGGATTATTCTTGCATTAGGATGATATTACAGTGTTCTCATAATAGGATAAAGTTTATACTTCTGATTCTTGGGCATGGATTTGGGGAATAAAAGGAGCATTGATGAAATGTCAAGCAAAAATTATGATGTTTAGGATTACAAAGAGAAATTTATGTTGGGTACTTTTGAGTGCTTGTTTTTCTACAGCTTTATTAAAATAGTTTAGAGAAGAGGGAAATAATTACAAAATAATTAGCTCACTTCTACATGGAAAGTGTGGGGATTTTTGTTTTCTTTTTGTTTTTAAGGCTTTATGCCTAAGACTAACAATTATAATTGTATTTCCAGGCTATTTCTTGATGTGGTATGTGTTTGTATTGCTCTGACTGAACTTGAAATCACCAAGGTGGTTTTCTGGTTCTTTGCTCATTTGGTTTATACAAACTACTGTCCTGCTATAGAGGACCAATAGCTATCCATATAATTTATGATTGTCCTGTACTTTTGCTCTAGGTTTTCAGTCAAGACTCTGATTGACCGTTCCTGTTTTGAGACTATAGATGATACTTCCCCTGAATTTAATAATTTTGCAGCCATTCTGGAACAGATTCTAAGTCATCGACTGAAAGGTATGTTAATTAACCTCCTTTCTAGTGATGTTTTTGCCATGAGAATTTGTTTGTATGAAACCAGCGTACATCTGTAGAAGCTCCTTGATGCTGAATGAAAGTGATGGCTTGCTTTGTATGTCTGTCCCTTTGGTATTGCCTTCCTGATTGTTTGCATTACTGTCGAAAAGTGAAGGAAACGGTTTTTGTGAAACATGTTTCCAGTGTTCTTGTTGGAAGCCTTCTTGGCTGGTAATTAAGCAAGTGGATGTTGCCATGGTGCTGAGCTGTCTGCTCTTCTGCTTTATGATAAGGCTGTGTCCTAAGAATCTGAGTCTGAAAGACAATCGCAGTGTTTTCTGCTTTAACAGAAGCTATAGAGAGCATATCTGGGGTGCTGCTTCCTTTTCTTTCTCCCTTCCCTGCTTTTGTTGCCTTCTTTTCCAGATACTGTGTTTAGGTCCTTTCATTCCCATCCCCCCACCCCACTAGTGAACCTGTTTTTTGCTGCTGGAATGCAATGGATCTGGATTAAATTGCTTTTGAGAAAGGTCAGTTGTTTGTTGATTTTCCTCTTTATCGGAGTCAGATGTTGTTCTGATTCAAGAAAATGTCTGTTTGCATTTTCTGATTGTTCCAGAGGAAGCTGCTTTGCTAAAAGAACAGAGCGTGCCTTAGCAGTAGCAGTCGCTAGAAAGGGACTTTGGAAGCTTCTCCTCATTTCTCAGTTCTGTGTACAGTTTCTGAAATTATTTGAGGATTATGAACGACATCATAATCATCTAAATATAGAAGTGTAATATGGCAATCTACTCCTTTTCATACTTTTGCTTTTTAATATTCATAACTTTGTGAACAATATTGTGTGTAGGCTGACATTTGAGTAGTACAATTACTACCTGCTGTCATTTTGTCAGAGAAGAAAAAAAAAATCACACAGTGGGGTAGAAACATAGTGTTTGTCACATTGTGACAAAGATTATTGGAGTGATTATGGGTACTTAGCAACTTGACACTGCAGGGAAATTGCTCTGTTTTCTCCTTCTCCCTCAGCTTCAGTGATGTTTGAGCAAAAATCATTATGAATTTTATAATTTTTTTCCCTTTTATATTTTTTTCCCCAACATTCTTTTGCTTCACAGTCTATTATTCAGGACAGGCAGTACAGAGAAGAAGCCTTGACAGGTTGGCAAATGGGTTACAGGCAAATGAAATTTGCAAGTAAAAAATTATTTCAAATAAGAAATAGAGAAAATCAAAAAGCTAAATTGTTGTTTCAGTCTTCCCCTTGTAATTACCAGTTTTTCTAAGTTTGCAGAGTTAAATAAAAATACAGAAAAAGGCAGCAATTGTGCATCGTATTGCAAACAGGGAATATTTTGGTAATAAGCTAGATCACTGTGAGTAATTGCTTTATTCTTTAAAAACTTGAAAGGGAAATTAAGATAATAAATGTACCATGACAATTCAAAATTTAAGAGGGTATATATTATACAACACCGAGCTTGAAAGAAATTGCATTTTATTGATGGAAAGGACTGATATATTCTGAATGCATATTTTGTGTCAGTAGGAGCACACTAAAAGCGGACTGGTGGTTGCAGTGGGTTGTATAAAATGTTTTCAAGCAGGCAGAACATATATGATCTGTTTGTCTCTGGTAAGATAAATGGTTTCATTGTATCAAAGTTGTCAGGATAATGCCATGGCAGTGTAGTTAAACAGATGATCAGATTTCAGAGTTGGAATATATAGAACGTTACTTTCTTAAGGTCATGGCAAGTAACAATTCTTAATCTTTAATTTTATTTGGAAGTACTGGGCGAAAAAGGAAGAATTAAAAAAAAAGTATTTAATTTGCATCGTAAAGGACTAAGTTTACTTTTATTAGAAAACTTTTACTGGCAACTGTCTTTTCTGACTTTAAATACAATATGTTTTTAAGGAGCAAAGCATAGTCTTGACGGAATATAGTGACTGTTGCTGCTTATTGGTTTCGTGTTCAGATAGGATCCAGACAAAGCAAAATGGAAGGAATAAGGACAGCCAAAAATGGAAAAAAATGTTCAACTACAGGCATTAGAATTTTATGCTTTTCCAGAAACCATTGCAATTAAGAATTCTGATATAATAGTTCTTCAAGCCTCATCTTCCTGGCTGTTCTGCTAAAAATGCCAGTTATAGCAATATGAGCACCATTTTTAAATTGATTTTTGATAGGTAACTGTCGTGGTCGAGACGGACAAACGACACGTACGCATTCTTATAGTACAAGCAAAGAAGGTTTTTTTTATTACTACAAGCCAGCAAATTTATACCCATTATACTTGTTACCTTGTACATATGTCTGTCCCTTATTGGTCAAAAAGTTGTCAGAAGTTGTTTTTCTCACCCCTCATTGGGTGACTTTTTCAGGTTCCTTATCACAACTGCAAACGGTCAACACATTCCTTAAACTTAGTTTCCCAGCATGCTTCTCGTTCTTTCTTGTTCTCTCACGGGAACACTGTAATCTTGTCAAGGTCAATATCCTCCCCAGGCCCCGAGGTCCAGCCGAGGTCCTCCACAGGTAACTGATCTGAAATTGCTAGCTCCGAATAGCAAAAGCGTCATGAAACAACATTCACAGTGGTTTGGGTGGTTTTGTTAGTTTGTTTTTTCTTTCCAGAATCATTGAAGAATTTAGTCTGGAAAGTACCTTATGAAGTTATCCAGTCCAACCTCTTGCTTAAACCAAGGCTGTCTCAGATTGCTCATGGCATTTTCCAGTTGAGTGTTGAAAATCTCCACGAGATTTCTTAAACTCAGTGCAGTTTGCTACAGAATTTTTATCCCCCCCCCTTTGTGGTTACTTTTCCGTGATATTGGCCATGGTCTTCACTGGATCCTGTGGTGAGCCAGACCAGGAAGTCAAACAGGCAGAAAACTAATGACTTTCCCCATGGATGCACTTCTTTAATGCAGCTGCTCATTTTCCTAAGAGTGGGTTAGATGTGGGTGTTTGCTTAGTAATAAAATGAGGTCAGCATAAATATATCAGCTCACACAACAGAGATCTGTGAATGCTGCAGGTATCTGTTCATGTGATACAGAAGACTTGGCACATATGGCAACAAAATAGTTCCAAAAACGGTAACATAACATGCCATGGCCAAAAGGCGACATCTGTACTACCTTACAGTTACATGTACACCAATGCCAATAAGTAGCAGTGAGGAATAGGCCACTGTTAGAAAAAGCAGTTTGGCTCACAATCTATTTTTGAATTGCCCTAAGGAAGAGAGAGAGAGTGGGGGTAAGCTGTATTAACTGTCTTTTCGGGGATTGCAAGCCGTTGATTGCCTTCTGCTCTAGAAAGTGGAGAGATACTTATCCCTATACTGTGTAATACTGTATGTGCAGTATACCCAGTACTCCCTAGAAGCTCTGGATTTATTGTGAATGCAGAGTAGACCAAATATGGTAATGAGGAGGGTATAAAGCATGTGTTCTTCCTGTTATTAAAATAAGCTGTGTGGCATGCCTGCTGGCAAGATATGATACTATTGAACAGGACAACTGAAGATCTTGAAAAGGTAGAAGGAGTAACAGGAAGAAGATGAGTGACTAATTACTCTTATTCCTTCTCAGAAATAAGATTTTGCATGGTTTTGTAATGCAGTAGAGAGTAAGTGGTCTTCTGAGTGGATACAGGGACAATGTATTTGAAGGTCTCTGGACCAAATGAGACCTGTAGTGCTGAAAGGGATTTTACAAATTTGTATACAAATGTACGTGTGTTTGACAATATTTAAAGCAAGCTGAGTAATTTCAGGAGCCATTTTTTTCCCCAGACAGTTGTTTGGAATTTCTTCCTTTTGTAACCATTTTGTACTGGGGAGATTAAGCCATATCTTGTAGTTGTCTTGGTGGTTTCTTGTTTTCACTGCTGGCCACAGATTTTTTCATGTATATTTCATGTAAGTGTCCTTTTTATCAGATCAGCTAAGTAAATATAGTTAGTGAAGAAATGGTAGGGGCATCAAAGTGTTCAGCAACAGTACTTGGGATTTGATCAGAGGTGTATCCTAGCTGATTTAAAACCTGAAGTCAATACAAAGTGATGTATATTTTTGTCTTTACTATATCACAATGTTGTATGGTTTTCTGCCTTTTTCTATCAATTTAAATTAGTTTTAACTGAGTTAGTGCTGAAGAACATCAGTAACTATTGTAGATTTTTATGGCCATCATCTCAAACGTTTCTGAAAACTGTTGTCATTTGTATGTATTTGTTGACTTACTAGGTTTTCAATGTACAGCAAAATGTGTTTATATCCAAACTGCTAGCCAGTTTGCATGCTTTGAAATAGTTTTGGTGTATAAATTGAGTTCTGTCACTGACAACGTATATAATGCATCTTGCTTGTGACTTCTGTAGTTTTTGAATTTCATTATTACTGTGAACATACTTGTCATTTATACACTTATTTGCATTTACCACCATAATGACACGAAAGACTATGCTGTACTGTGCTATTTTGACACTTGCACGACTTTGTATGCCTTTTTTCCTGTACGTACACTTAGAAGGTATTATAAACATATCAAAAGCTTCTGCTAGAGTTGCCCATGGAAGCTGCTTGTCTCTATCTGATCTATGTCATTCCTAATTTTTAGTGACTGTGGAGTTTGTTTGCTTGCTTTTCTATTTTGTTTTAGAAAACTTACTATGAGTAGTAAGCTTCTAGGTTCATCAGTGCTGCTGGAGTGGAAACATAAATGTAATAATTCTCTTCCTTTCCTCATTCTGTAAAATGTTCTAGTTTCACACATCATCAATACTCTGGTGATAGTAATGGTAAATGGCTGTACTAGTGATGTCACTGGTAAATGTTCAGTTTTTGTACTTCCTCATAGTAAGGTGAATTATTAAATAATTCATTTCTGAAGCACTGAAAGACTTTTCTTTTATCTGCAGTGCACAATTTATCCTTTCCCATATGGTTTTTATTTTACTCATTTATTTTTAGGTGAAAAAAAAAAAGCACTTACTACTATCTGCTATTTCATGGAGTCTCTTTTTAAGCGATGAATATTGATATAATTTTTATTAATCAAAATTCATTGAGTTGTAATAATTCAGACACAAACAGTGGTTACAAAGGGAAAGGATATGAATTATGTCTGCAGAAGACAATTTGTGCTGGTAGGTCTAGGTCAAAGGTGAGGAAGCACAGTTCTTTGAGTGAATAAGGTACAGCTTGTAATGCTGCTCATCCTGAGAGAGACAAGTCTGCTGGATAAAATAGTTAAGGTATTGGCGATATAATGGGGGTGAAAAGGGTAGGTTAAAGAAATAAGAGCTGATGGCACCACTGTCATGACAAAGACAAAGTCTAAGCTATAGCTGTGGTGGCCCTTTATTTGGTGCAATAATGCTATTAGCAGTATAGCTTTTGTTCCTAGATTTAATATTTATACACACATAGTGACCCTACTACTGGTTTTGGCTAAAAAGAAAAGTAGGGGTCTTGTGTAATTTGTGGTTCAGCTCATTCTCCTTTCTCCTGTGTGGAGAAAAATCTTAAATGAATTTATAATTGTCTTGGAGGGCTGTGTTTATGAGCTACTGTAAATTTTTAATTTTTAATTATTGGTTCTGTAGGCCCAAAATAAAAGAGTAGGTATCACAGAAATTCCTCAAAGGAATACCATACCAGTTTATTACCAACAAGTTGTATTAAAACTTATTTTTTTCAGGATAGAAAAATTTGCTGCAAACTAAATAATACAGGGAAGTCTGGAGAAAATCTGTACCTTAGAGCATCCTAGTCATTACTACTTTCAACTGTAGAACTTTGTAGATATGAAATTGGACTGTGATTGAGTAGGAATCAAACTGCTTAATGTCTTATTTGTGAAGAATTTTGGGGGCATGAAAAAAGATCCGCAACAACTAGTTGTCAGACTGGAGCAGAAATGGGTTGATACAAATAGGTGTGTAGCAGTATTCAAAAATGTGGTGAAATTAAAAAATTTCTATTTGCTTTGCAGTTCTGTAGGCAAGAACTGAATTTGAACAATGTTTAATATTAAACATGCAGCTTCCATGCTTATCTAACATTTTTGTTTGGCTGACAAAAACGGTAACATCATTCCTGTTGGAATAGCTGTCAGCTTCTGTGTCTTCTGATGACATATAAACTTCATGGCAAAGACCACGTACTTTTTGTCCTTTGGACCTCCCTGGAAACTTACTCTTACCTTGAGAAGTACTTTGACAGACTGTAAATTGTGTACTAAAACTAGCTTTCAAGTTTATTAGGACCCTTTAAAATTTAGATATGATTTTAGAATCGTAGAACAGCCCAGGTTGGAAGGGAACCCAAAAGATCATCTGGTCCAACCATTTGTGGAAAAGGGAGCCCAGGTGACATTATCTAGCACCCTGTCCCTAGCATCACATCTTTAAAATCTCCAGTGATGGGGACTCTACCACATCCCTGAGGAGGTTCTTCCAGTGAATAGTTGTTCTTACTTTAAAAAATCTCTTTCTCGTGTTGAGATGAAACCTCTTCCAGTGCAACTTGTACCCATTGCCCTTTGTCTTCTCCACGTGGCTCCTTGTAAAGAGAGAGCCTCCATCCTCTTTAAGTTCTTTAGGTTCAGAAGTACTGTGATGAGTTCCCCTCTGAGTCTTCTCTTCCCTAGAGAGAAAAGACCTAATGCCTTCAATCTTTCCTCATGGGGCAGGTCCTCCAGCCCTTTGAACATCTTCATGGCCCTCCTTTGGACCCTCTCCAATCTGTCCGTGTCCTCCTTGAATTGTGGGGACCAGAACTGGACACAATACTCCAGGCACAGCCTGACAAGCACTGAGTAATGAGAGCTATTTCATTCCTCATTTTTGAGAGTTCTTGTGGCTGTGTACATTGAGTGCATTGAGGGCCAAATAGAATTTCATACACTGAAAGCGTTTAAAATTGTAGGGAATATACAGCTTAATATCTTATTTAGTAGTTCTTAAAATACATTCTCACTATTCTGAGACAGTCTTTTCCAATATTTTTCTGTGTATAGAATGATTAAGGAAGTTTTTCTTCAGATGATGTTAATTACTAGAGTGGGGCAAGGTTTAAAGTGGTAGGGAGAAAATAGTGAAATATAGAAGTCCTTGGTTCACAAAAGGTCCTGAGCCAACTGTGAGTTTCAAGTGAAGACAATTCCTACTAAAGTCTGAAACCCATCGTACCCTCTCGCAGAGCTGACTGCAAGACAAGAACCCACTGTTATGCCAGTGTTCATTGTAATTATGGCCGGCTTGCTTTGTTGATCAGTGTAAGCCAAATAAGCGCTGTGTGCTGATATGCATTTCTGTTGCAAAGGTATTTTTGTTTTTAAATGATGTGTTTTCAGGTGTTCATTGGTAAAAGGAATTGCTTTGAATTAGTGACTTCAGAAAACTATAGAGTGAAACTGTCTGGTTTTTGCAGAATATATTCTGTCCTTAAGATAGCTTCAAAAGGCCACAAAAGTTATTTTATGATAAGCTTGCCTTTATTAGCTGGTACTGGAATTGGTGACACAAAGTCATCTTCACACTTAAGTTGCATTTAATTTTGCAGGTATAATCCCCAGGGCAGAAATGTTTCTAGTATGGCAAAGAATATGAATAATATCTGTAGGTTTTCATGCTGTTGAAATGCTGTTAAATTCTTGTTGCTGTCCGCTACACTTGGCATTTCAACGAAAATAGTGTGTAAGAGCACTTGCATCATGGAAACTCTTTTATTTTAGTGCTTAGAGCTGAGATCTGAATCTACAGCAACTGAAGCACCTTGGTTTTTTGTTTTCCCTTTGACATATTGAGTAATATGTATTAATTCTTCCTGCTTTTTTTTTTAACAAGACTTTTATCAAGCTTTGAATTTAATAAATAAATCCATGAGGCGGAGTAAGCAGATGGGCCACAAAGTCAAGTTACATGCACCCTCTAGGGAAAAAAACCCAACACCACTTGAATCTCTTAATAGCATAGGGGACAGATCTTTGACATTACTCTGGCTATGCTTGGAGTTAAGATAAGTCATGCTAGATAAAAATATCATTGTCATGATATTTTGGCATTTTGGTATGTATGATTTGCAGTATCAGTCAAATATATTCTTTCTTGAAATCTGAGCTTTCTAACAGCAAAAGAATTAAAGTCTTTCTGATATATTAGTAAAGCTTCAGAAGTACAACTCAAAACTTGAAATAAAATAGAATTAGCTTAACAATAAGATCTCATTTTATATGGAAAAAAGGTTTCGCATGTATGTAATAATGGCAGTCACCAGAGGGCAATGTTCATCTTTTCACATACCTGTTCACAGTTGTATGCTGTTCAGTCTGAAAAACGGGGCTGAACTGTTGTGCCTGTGATGAAATTTATTTTGTGTGGAGTGATTGAAAGTAGTATGCAATTTTTCCCTTTGTTTTCTAACTGTAATACATTCCAAGCTGGAAAAAAATATGAAGAGTTTTGGTTAAAGCTCCAGAAGAGGTATTGATTTGCTCAATTCATTTTGGTCAACTTCCTAAGGAATATTGTGTGTGTCCTCAAAATAAATTGTGACTGCAAAACTTTTTTGATCATACATCAATTTCTCCTTCAATGAAAGCACATTTTGATAAATTCCATTCTGCTCCTAAAATAAAGATAATACTACCACAGCAAGCAGTGGTCTTGAGATAGATATTTATATATAAAAAAATTTTTTTTAAAGAACAAAACTCCCTTTACTTGACTGTATTAATGAAACATGTGGTACTACCTAAAGCAGGTAACAGAAATACTTCTTGCATCGTATTTTTAAGTCACAACTCTGCTTTATTGTGATTTGAGAGTCCCGTGAAGAACCCTGGAGTATTATTGTAGCATACTAACAAGCAAAAACCCAACAAAATACACATATGTACACAAAAGCCCCAAACTTCTCTTTGTGCATTGCAAACCAGGGTGAGAGACATAATGCAAGGTTTTTTTACACCTGTGAGCCAGTTTACAGTAGGAATTTATGGACTTGCTAGTATAAAATCCTGTCAGTGCAGGCAACCTATAGGGAAGTACTTTAATTATGTTTATCTCCAATAAGCAGAGAGGAAGGTTCATAAATCTTTACATATCTTGTATTTTGATTTAAGGTCAGATCACCTGGTTCGGCTATGAAAGTCCTCGTAGTTTCTGGGACTACATTCGAGTAGCTTGCCGAAAAGTCTCTCACAATTGCATCTGCAGTATTGAGAACATGGAGAATGTCGGTTCTTCTAGAGCTAAGGTAGGGAAGAAAAAGGTCAAATTGACTTTTTTGTTACATTGTTTCTTCTGTGTAAAATATAGCTGACATTTCTGTACCCAGAAGAAAAACATATTACTAAGCTTGCCCCACAAAATTTTTCATTGTTTGAAATAATTTTTTTAATATGTACCTAGTAAATATTTACTTCTTAAAAAAACACTTTTAAATCTGAATGTGTTTTCTCTTAAATTCATCTTATTCAGTAGAATAAATCTCAACTTCTTTATTCAGTCAGTGTGTTGTTATTATAAAATGATTGCCTTCACTTTGAACTTACATAATTTTTTGAAAATGCAGTATGTTGAGGGAAATTAAGTTCATGTGGGCATGCCTAACAAATATTATTTTAAAATTGTAGAAATGTGATTTATTTTTTTTCCCCCTAACCTAAGTATCATTTTATTTTGGATGTAATTTATGCACTAATAGGAAAGGTGTGATCAACTCTTGAGTTTGTTGGTGTGATTGTGCAGGAAGCATTTAATAGATTTATTTGCTAACAAAGATCCATCATTTTAAAGGATCTATATAGAAATGACATCACAATTTCTGATTGTAGGTACAATGGGAGCATTAAGGAAGTAACTATTTAATGTGTTTATGTGCATATGACCTGAATAAGAACAAGCTTTAAACTGACCTATCATTAACTCTTAATAGTGTGAGACAGTGTAGACCAACATCTTTAAAAAAAAATACTGTTGGACAGAGATTACAAGTTCTTTATTACTAGATTGGATTGCTTTTCAATAGCTTCTATTTCTGTGTAAATCAGCCTTGATTGATAACTGAGAACTTTCTGACTTGAAAGTATAAGTATAAAACGATACCCAAATTAATGTTCTTAATTCTTTTTATTCCTAAATAAACTGGAATCAGTTGTTTGAACAAGTATCCAAACTGTTTCATGGCTATTTTAAAAATCCTGTAGTTTCAGATTTTTATTATACTCTGGATTATCCATAGTTGGTATCATTGGTGAAGTGGAAATATTTAGCTTGTTATATACAAAAATTTTGTAGGTTTTTTTCAGGGGCATGACTGTGGTTAATACAATTTAAATTATGTGTATTTACACAACCACAGATTTCTTCAATAAAAGATGATGCTTAGATCAAGCAGCACCATGAATCTAATAGATCTTTGAGCAGCCATTCTGATGATCCATAGTATTGCAGAACAGCTTATTTGCTATGTCCGGTGTTGCTCCTTTCTTCTGTATAGATTCAGTTTTAAATTTTGTATAGTAAACGTATCTGTAATCTGTGTGAAAGCTTTGAAACACTTGAGATTCTATGGCAAAAAGCTATTGACTGGTTTTCCTATCCAGAATATTACATGCTCTTCCTAGCACTCAATGTACTGGAGTAGCAGACTGAGATTGAAATGTCATGCAGCTTTTCTCCCTACTTACGTTGAGATCTGGAAACTCAGAGAATTTAGAGAACTTCTTTCCAAATACTTTCTGGAGAGATTCATGTTCTAGAATCTGATGATTGTATTGCTTATATTCGAGGTTTATTTTAAAGGTATTTCTGAATTCTAAGATTTTAATAGATATGAATATTTAAATTCAGTATATAATAAGATACAAAGCTATTTTCTGAAATACTCTTGTAAATAAATTAAATTTTTTTTTTATTCTGTGGAAAACTCCATGCCAAATAGTAAACAAAGAAGCTAATTTGTGCAGTAAGTGTGGAAAGTGGTGTTGAATTTTTAAAAGTGCCTATGGGAGTATTTTGGATGTCCATATCTGAAAAGGCTGGAAGCATGTCGACACAAGTACCAGTGGTATGCATCAGTTTTACTGGTAGTCCAAATGGGTGTCACTTCAGCCTGGAAGCTGTTAGTAAGGGTTTGCTAGTGCTAATTAGCCCTGCTTTCACTGGAGCTGCATAGGCTTTAGTCGTTAGCTAAGCATCATCATCAGGGTTTGACTATTTCTCTCATGTTCTAAATAACTGCAATGTAAAGGCAGCTATCCAGATAAATATCCTTTTAATTTTAGTGCACTCTGTGTTAAAGTTTTAGCTGTATTGTTGGTATTTATGAAAGCAATTGGTTTTTTTGTTATTATCTTATTATAAGTTTAGTTTGATCTAGGTCTATATAAAATAAAAATAGGATTATAATCTACTACAGATGGTTTGGGTAGAATGTCTGTAGTGATATTCAGATAGATGTTGATAAACACCAAATATATTAAGCAGACAGATGTCTTACTACTTATATAACTATTTGTAAGTTTATATGGGTTACAAGAAATGTTCCTGGTGTTCTCAAACTGACAATCGTAACTATGGCAGCCATTTGAAATGTTTCTTTCTTGTAAACTACAATCCTGTGCACTAGACCTGTAAACATAGTGAAACATATACTCCTAAAAGTTATTTTCGAAGCTATTACTGTTGTTTATAGAACTGTTTGAATCAAGTTTTGCTTTTGGACTACAAGTTTTAGGCCTCTTAGATTTGATTTCATTCCTGTATGTTATGTGCATCCTCTATAATGATGTCCTTACTGAGGGGAAAAAATAGTTTATGCAAATTACATAATAAAAATATGTCACTGAGTTATAATTTTTTTTTTATTGATCCCACAAATATTTGAATGAATGCAGAGAATTAGTTCTTAAATCACCTTGAGGGTAGGTTACTGCTGCTTTACAATGGAACTGATTTGATGCTTCCAATACCATTGTCTTTAAAATGAAAGCTCTCTGCCCTGATCTGCTACCACTTATGCACATGAGATTTTCAAAAGGCTGGAGTATATAATTAAAGCAAAAAAATTTTATTTTTTTTTTTCCCCCTTCAAATTTTGGAGAATTTTATTTCACAATAAAGTTTATTTGTAAGAACGCATTTTCTATTTTCATTATTACTATAATGAAGTACATCTTAGCAACTATTTCTGTTTAGTGGTAATTTTGTTAATCAGTTCATTTCACCCAGGTAAATCAACTGTATTCATTTTCAGTGTAAAATTAAGTGTTTCATTCTATATTACTTAAATATTTGATATCTGTTTCTTCTTGCAGGGTCGAGCCTGGATCAGAGTAGCACTTATGGAAAAACATTTGTCTGAATATATTTCCACAGCTCTGAGAGACTTCAAAACAACCAGGTCTCCAAGACTTTTGGGTTTTTGCAATATTTTAGCAAATGTTGCTTAAGTGAGGGACTTAGGTTTGGAAGTGAATGTTCTGCTTGATTTGTATAGGAAATAATGTCTTTAGTAAAAGAGTTGTAACCCAGTAAAAGATATTTGGAGTTGGTATCAATTGATTGGATTTTAGCATGGGTAAAACTGCAAAATTGAAAATCCCTTTTTGATTTTAAAAATGTGAAAATAAGTCTGGAATTATTGAAAGGTCAAAAGAGAAGAAAGCCTCTCTAAAGAAGGAAATAATTCTGAAATTGTAGCATCATAAGGACAGAAGCTGTAATGTTCCTTTCAAAATTAGGTATGGTTGACAGAAAGCCCTAGAGACTCAGTAAAAATAATTTTTATAGCAACTTTTCTTGAAGAAGAAAGGAAGAGAATTTCAGGAACTTTTTGAGAAATATAGAAGAATAGAATTAGTGATCAGGCATAGCTAGAATTCTTGATGTAATATGAAAAATGTGTAACACATTTGTGTTGTATCTTCTAATGGTAAAGGCTGTTATGGACAAGAATATGCTTTGTGACAGAAAATACTCTGGCAGTTTCGGACTGGTTCTAGATAATGGGATTATTTTATGATGCTTTATCCTGTAACAAGTGTGTCTCGTAGATTTATGATGAAGTCATCTAAACATGAGTGAGTCTGTAACATGTTGTGGTACCTTATGTTGAACTCTAAAAGTTTTAGACATACTGAATTGGCTATTTAAACAATAAGAATTTTCTCTGTAAGGACTTCTGTTCATTTAGAATATTATTTCTGTTTGTAATACAATTTGTCCACAAATCTCCATATATTTTGCCAATATTAAGGTGATTTTGAAACACAACTAGGTAAGCATCCCATTTTATTGAAGTTTCCAGACCTGTCATCTTTATTTTACCCAGATTTGCTTGCATTTACCATAGACAAGAAGCTCGTAAAACAAAGAGTTCTGGAAAAGATTTACTCACGTTGCCTCAAACTGAAAAGTCACTTGGGGTTTTGAGGGGGAAATGAGGTGGGTCACAAACTGTGTAGTTAAGTAGTACATTCTTTGTCCCCGTTTGGTAGTGCAGTTTGTTTGCTAGTGGATAACAGTGGTATTATTTTGTTAGCAGTTTCAAATTCATTTATTTGAACATGTTAATGTTTCATATATTTGAATATTCTTTCAGTGGTATAGCTTTTGGAAACAACCTCTTTTGCATTCCAAACATAGGAATTGCAAAGTTTGTTTTGAAGTAAATACATCAAATGGAAATAAAAGTTACAGTTTCAGATCTTGGTAGTATGGATTTCAAATCCACTAGCAATACCGTACACAATTTCTTTTTCCTGTGTGGGATTTTGGATACCTAATAAGTGGCCTGATTTTTTTGGTGATGCTTTGCACCATTTATTTAGCATTTTAAATTATGTATTGTGCTATATGTATAGTTAATGATTATTTATATAAACTATAAATATCCTATGTTACACATGTGTGTATGTAGAATATGAGATTAATCTATCATACTCCTAGCTCTTTTTAAACCTCACTGTTGTGTTTAGGTGCCTGATCTTAGGACTAGTTCTTTAATGAAGCAGCACATTTTTAGTGCTGGATCTGCATATTACACTTGGAAGGGAGTTGGATTAAGCATGGGCACACAATTATTTTGCTAACAAATTGGTCAGCACAGACTCTTAACTTAAGTGGACTGTTCTGTTGTGAAATGTCAACTGCATAGCACTGAAAGAAGATTGGTGAGTTTTCCAAGGGGACTGTTGTTTTGGCTGGATTACTGTACCTGGTTTAAGAAACATTGCCACTGTCAGGCTACCATCTGTGTGTCTTGCCATTACAAGTATGCCCTGTCTTTTTTTGTGTGATTACTTCCTAGCCACCATGTCACAAGTTAAACTGAGCACAGTACTGATTGGTACCTGGCAGTGACTTGACAAATGCCAGCGAAATGGTTTGTAATCAGCTTGTACTGGGATCATTGCTGTTAGCTCTCAAATAAGAGTAACTGTACTGAATGAGACTGTAAAGTCCGTCTAGCTCAGTATTCTGTCTCAACCAGTGGCCAGTTTAGCCTCCTGGTGCCCTTCCTGAAGTCAGAGGGTAGAAAGCTGAATCTGTACATCATAGCCTCAGTGTCAGGACTATAATCTCTATCTTCCCAGAGGAAATATTCCAGATTTCTTGCTTCCCTTGAGAACATCCAAGGTCTTGGACAGCTTGTTTCCTTAACAGCAAATGGATGTCCATTATGAAACAGCAAAAGTAGGACTTCTGACAGTGTGCATTATAACACAGTTCAGTCTTTGGGGCTGTGCCCCAAAATGTGTCTTTTCTGGATGTTTGCCATGTAGTCAACTGAAGCTCTCACTGAGCCTTCCCAATGCTTTCATGCAGTTCTTAAAACATATGGAGCTTTTGGTAGGGCAGTGTTGCTGATATTTGTCTGAAAGGTGGGTTGCATTCAATAACCTGGCACCTTCTTGCAATCATACATTGGTAGAATGTATAGGTGGACTGCGCATCTCAGTTTCTGGTAAATGACCTCTCAACCTTGCCTTTGGTACTGAACAGCTCTTGGTTCCCCACTTTCCATGTGTAACGCTCAGGTGAATTCTAGTGACCTTTCTGCCTCTGCTGATGCCAAGACTCCTTTAACACAGAAATTAAAGTTCTGTGCTACTTTGCTAAACAGACCAAATGCCTTTTTTACAAGGCCATGTGTGGCAATGGTGGGTCCTATTCACCTGCCCTGTGCATGGAGTGTTTCTGTGTGGAAATAACTTCTGTGGTAGCTGGGAGGAGAAAATCAAAATAAATGGGAGAGAATGGGGAGGTGGTGAGGGAATACAGATTCAAAAATTGTTGCTTTGTCGGTCAGTGTTCTCAAGCAGCCTTCACAAATCTGCATATACCAGGGTATGTGAAGTGTATTTTGAGATCAAGATGTGGAGTTTAAAAACTTTGGTCAATGGGTGTTTTGCCATTAAAAAAATGGTGTTAACACTCCTTCTTCAAATAATGAAAATTTTAAATCTCAGAATAACTGGATGCAGCATGCATCTTCCCAGCATGCAGTATTTAAAGAAAACGTATGCTACCTGGAAAATAGCTGATTTGTGAAAACATTTTTTAAAAAATAATCAACTACTAAGAATGAAGAGTGAATGTTGAACTTTAAAAGAGCCTGCAAGTACAATTGTGAGAGAGAACTTTTTTCATATGATGGAACAATTATTTTTTTATGTACATGACCCAAATTCTTCCTTTCAGCAGTAAAGTATAAGATATCTTCATCATTTTCTTTTCATTTTGTCTGTCCTGTTCTACTATTTCTTAGGGCTAATATTGTAAATTCTTTTTGCTTCTGTCTAAATTTTTATGTGCTCTAAGATTGTGGTGTTTTGTGCTGTGCAGTCTATTGGTTTGCTTTATTTGAAATGAAATATGAACACCCCTGGGGTTCACATTAGTTGTTTTTATTTAAACTGGATCACTTCAGTTTTCTGATAACTATGAAAAACTTTATTATTATTTGAGAGAAAATGGTATTAACTGAACTAATTTCTTTTTTATTGAAGGAGATTTTATGAGGATGGAGCAATTGTTCTTGGTGAAGAAGCAAATATGCTTGCTGGTATGCTCTTGGGACTCAATGCAATTGATTTCAGGTATTACATTTGCATGCTTCATAACAAAATGCTCAGGGAAAGTACTTATAAATCAATGCATTATGGAAAACATTGTTAGATTCCCGTGGTAGTTTGAGAGGCAAAACTTAGGTGGGGGGAAAGAGGGGGAGAGAGAGAGGGAGAGAGAGATCTTGAATGGCTCTTATCTATAAGAACAAAGTTGTGCCATAGTTTATATAGCTGCATGATTACATGGTCTTTCTTTCAGGTATCAAAATCCTGAAAGCAATCAGAAGTATAATTGCAGAAGATATATCAAACCTATTAAGTGAATCTTGCAGACAATTGAATCTTTTAGTTATTTTTAAACTGCAAGGAAGACTGTGTGATTAAGTACATGGTTATGCCCTGGTATTCAATGACAGCATTGTAACTGCATATGTAGAAGGTGTAGGGTGTAGGTGTCTTTAACTTTAGCACTTCTAGATTTTTTTAAAAGCTTAACCTACAAATGACCATTTAGTATTCATTTGTGTTATAATTAACTGCAGCCGAACAGCAAAATGTCATCAGATTACATGAATTTACCTTTGCAATCTCTACCTAGACTTTTGTGTGCTTTGTTACTTAATTAATTCTGTGTTTTGGGGTAATAAAGGTGCAAGCACATGCTAGAGAATATAAAAAACATCCTGGTGTGTATATATATAAAGATATATGTTAAAAATATCAGCAAGGTATAAAGACTACAGTGCCTATGAAATGATCAAACCTGGCTGGTGCAACACCCTGTTAATATGCCTGGTTGGGCCCACTTAGCCTCATACAGAGCCAGTGGGGAAGGGTTTCATAATACCGCATAGGGAAAAGGAGAGTGATAATGCTTTTCTCCAGTCTCCTCGCAGTACACTGTTAAAATTTACCCTGTGGTAGTATTAATGCTTGTCACAAACCAGTTTAGGAGATAAACTGGCAGAAAACAGCACATAGTCTCACTGAATGCACTGAGTGATTGACTGTTGCCAAAAGGCCTTTGGAGATTTACTCCTGCTTATGTACCCTTATACCAGTTTTGAGGCTTGTTGGACCCTTCTGTGAGCCAGCTCAACTTGTTAAAGGGCAAAACCCCCATACCTAGTAAGAAGGCAGGATAGTTCTTTTGTTGTCAGCTAGTTTGGTTCACAGAGTCATCCTATTAGTGGCAGAGATGATGGGACCATAAGGCTTAGAGAAGAGGCATAATGTTTTCCCTTTCTGGTGACAGTGAGCATTTAGTTCAGCTGCCTGTGGAACTGCAACTGGATGCTAAAGGGGGAAAAAACCTAAAAATTCAGGTCTTGATGGCTGAACTAGCTCATCATGGAGTCAAATAAGTGCCAATACCACTGTAAGGAGGGGAAAGGGAATGTCTGGTTGGTTTTTTTGTTTTTTTTTTTTAAAAAGAAGAAAGAAAGAAAGAACAGGAGGGAGAGGTTGAAAACATATGATACCTTCTTTTGCCAGAATTTAGTCATTAGATTGGCTTAACTGCATCCTCAACATATGTTCTGGGGGAATGGAAGTGTGCTTCAGGATGATAAGAGACCTAGTCTTGTGTACAGCAAATTCAAATCTTACCAGATTTTATTAGTTTAAGCTTTACACTATGTGAAATTAAACTGCTTCTGTATTGGCACTATACTTGAAGGACTATAGCCTTACATCAGTAAGAAGCATAGCAAGAGTAGGTCTGCAGTATGTAAATCCTCCCATAAATAATCATCAATTGACTGTCTCTTATAATCCTCAGTGGTACATACTACTGGTATGAGAGCTTAGCTGTATGAGTGTGCTTGTTCTTCCTTTGTCCTCCAATTTCTAATATAAGCATATGTATAGGTATCTGTTAATAGTATTCAAAGTAATGATTGGTTCTTGTTGGGACATTCAAAGTTTTTGTCAATGCAGCTTTTAAGAGCCTAGAAATTTTCTGGGCAAAGTAGGAACATAGTGCTACATGAGCATTTTTATTGTGCCACATAAAATTCATAGTATTTTTGGTTTGAATGACTAAGAAGCTGTAGTCATTTTTTACATGTTACATTTGAGGAGTTTTTTGGTTTGTTGGTTTTGGTTTGGTTTTTTTTTTTTTCATTTCAAACAGTCTCTTACAAATGTTGACTGGCTTATCTATGTGGAACTGTAAATAAGACTTTGGGGTGGAGGTGGGGGAACCCAGGTGAGAACAGAATCTAAATATTCCCCCCCCCAGCAATGCAGAATTATGTCTTTACTTAAAATAATTGTGGTTTTGCAAGGGTGTTTTTTGTTTTCCTTGCTTTTCTTTTCTTAGGGAAAAAAAAATGCTTCAGATGTAATTCCCAAATACCACTTAAGTGACTGCATTGTCAAAAATGGCACTTTGCAATTAAGCTAGCAAAAGCTGTGTCTTACTAGAATCTCTTTTTTGATGACAGAGATAGGAGGAGTGAGGAAAATGAGCCTTGTGGAAGCATAATTAATTTTGTCACTTCTGTGATAATTAAACATGATTCAAATGCAATCTTTTATATCCAGTACAAAAAGAATACAGTGTAGATGATAGCTTTATAAGGCCACAGCCATTTAAGAACATTTTCTGAAAGTTAGTTTCATTAATGTTCCTCATCTTCCTGCAGCCCAACACCAGAAAGTATCTGAAAGGAGAAAGACTCTGAAATATTTTTGAGAATTGATTTTTAACTTAAAGTTAGTAGGATGGGTACATAAGCACTCTGTGAACACTTTGAATGAGCTTAAATACTGAAGATTCCAAGCTCATCCATAGCTCTTCTGTTTCTCTTTCTTCAGCTAACTTTATTTTTCCTGTTATTCCCTTGCAATCCATCTGTATTTTCAGAATAAAAGTAAATATTTAAAAATCAAGGTTTATACCACTTGCCCTGATCTATTTCCTGATTATGTGGAATTTCTGTTTGTTGGGGTTTTCATTATACTATGATATGCTTAGTGACTCTCATTTAACATTAAACAGTCTAGCTCAGCTGAGTAGGATTTCAGTGTTAAATGCTCTAGGCCTTTCTTATTATAAAAAAATTAAGAAAAGTCAAATTTCATGTTGGTAAGATTCAACTGTCACTGTCATTTAATTTTCTTGTAATAATCTTATCATTGTTTCTCTGTTTTATCAGTTTTTGTCTGAAGGGTGAAGGATTGGATGGCAGCTTTCCAGCTGTCATAGATTATACACCGTACCTGAAGTTCACCCAAAGGTACTTTTTATCTTTACAATGCTTTTCTTTATTTTATTTCATTGGCAAAATTTTACTTCATACTGGGCCTCTTACATTTCAGTTCACATTCAAAATAATATCCATATCTAAATACAAACCCGTACACTCAGCTACCTTACTCTTTCAGACTGGTGGAATTATTACATGACTCATAAGTGAGTCATGCTAACTTTGGTTACTTGGATTAGAATCACAGTTCAGCTGGAAACAAATTTTTTATTTCCTTTGAAGATCATTAGACCAAGTTGTCCTTTCTTTTGGGCCTTTTCTTTATAGCCATAAACTTAAAAGTAGTTATTTTGTAAATAAAAAGTATGTATGCCCTGGTAAATGGTAAGATATGACAGATAAGCAGTATGCAGTATAGGCAGTTAGTGCATAATAGAAAATCATGACCAGTTGTGTGTATAATCTGACATTCCAGCTACATTTTGCTCCTCTGATCAGCCATGTGGTTAATAATAAAAAGAATGATCGCTAACAGATCAGATACCAATCTGGCATCTCCAAAAAGCATGGAAATTAATGGGATGTGTTCTATTGTTAGGTTTGGCAAAATGAAGGAAGCAGCTGGGAGTTAGGAGTAGTCTTGAAGATGTACAACTGAACATGAAACATCCTAGTTATTCACTTGAAGTTCATGTAAGCTTACATGTTAATGACAGATTGCATGGTTCAGTTAAAGCAGAATTTGCATCATGGCAGGATCATGGGGTTGCACTACTCACTACTTAAAAAACTAGTAAATGCTGTTATTGTAGTGGAAAGCATAGTTAGCTGTAAGGGAAGATTTCAAATGGATATTGGGATAAATTAAAATTCTTGTCTTTGAGAACGATGTCTGAATTCTCTGGCATACATTGATTCTGGATGTTATGGAGACACTTTAACAATGAATCTGCATACTATGTAGGGAGATGCTTATGTCCTGTGAAATAACAGGCACATGGTCTTTGCTATAACCATAACTATCCATTCTCATTTAAATTTATCGTAATTTAATATAATGACAATCACTTTTTTTATTTTTCCGCTTTTTTAGAAACAAATGAAATCTATTTTCAGAGACGACTCTGCCCTGAATTTGTGAAGGAAAGATTTAAGTCACCACTTTCTTAGATAGCATATTGTAATGCACTGGTCCTTTGTATTCCAGGAAAGTATCCCACGTACAGTTGTCTGACTTGCTTAAGATAACTTGACTAAGATCACAAGCAAATTTTTGCCCATTCTTTAGGTGGCTATACAAATAAAAGCTTGAAATACAAGTTGTGCTTGGTGATCTATCCTATCCCAACATTTTGATTCTTTTTGGTTTACAGAGCTTTAGATATCCGTAAGAACTGTGGTGCTTTAATTTCAAGGGGGATTTGCACTTTAACAGACACAGCTTTTGACTTGGCTAATAAGTATGATCCTTCAGTTCTGACAGCATCAGCAGTGATGAAGAAGAGCTAAGGACGCTGGGCAGTAGTGGCAGTGAAGGCAGTACTCCAGAGAACATCGGTCCTCCTTTCATCATGGATGAAAACAGTTGGTACAACAAATGCAAAAGGGTAGAACAGAAGTACCGGCTTGCATTGGAACAGAAGGTAAAAGATTAGTTTTGTGGGGGGCTGATGGACCCAAAGCTTGTCACCAGCCAACTGGTGACATATCCATTTAAGTAAAGGCAGAAAAATATATTAAATATTATTTAGCTTCCTGTAAGTGGTCTTAAATTTTATGATCCTCAGAGTATCTTTGTACATTGATTTGAGGGAAGGGGGGGGGGGAGATAATAATAATAACAACAATAACAACAACAATAATTAATTAAATAATTATTACTTAATTAAATATTAATAATAATAATAATTTGGAGGATCAGACTGCACAATCTAATGTAGACACTTTGGCTCCTTTTTCCAATCTCAGAGTTACAGCCAGTGTATCTCTGAAGCTGTTAGGTTGTGAAATGAACATGAACATGACTGTCCACATGATTTTCCTCTTCCTTAGAAGCCGTAGAATTTTGCTGATGTAGGTAGACTGCCAGTTGAAAGCTTTTATAATTATAGTGATGTTAAACTTTAATATTTATTCTTACAATAAACAAAAATGATCAGCAAAGTAATCTGTCTAGGAACAAAAAGCAAAAATATCTTCTCAATGATACTGAGATTTTAGAAAATATATAGTCTTAAGACCTGTTTCAAGCTAGAATGGGAAAGGAAAAAAAAAAAAGTGTGTTTGTATTTGATTTCAATAATTTAGGTAGCATATTGAATGTTATTATAGAAACCAAAGGTAGGTTCTCCCTCTACCACCCGAAATGCTGTAAGTTAAAGGTAAAGTGAAATATATGTCCAAACTTTTTAGCATTTTATTACTTTTAAAAGCAAAGTACTTGTCAGTTTTTCATAACAGCATATTACAGCTACAGCAACAGCAATGCATATTAGCTAGTGGTAGAGAGAAGGGGGAAGAATTTTCATAGACACTGCAGGAATAGTGCACAGAAAAAGAAAGGAAGGGTCAGGAAAAATTAAAGGGAAAGACAAATGGTTAATGTTTTTAAAAACCTTCATTAGAATTTTTAATGTTTTTTCCTAATGTCAGAATTTGATTTTTATGGAACTCTGAACACAGTAAACCATATGAAAGGCTGGAACTACGTAAGGGTGCTTGGAGGTGTAATTATTTCCCTTAGTTTAGACCATTAGAATCACAAGATTATCTCTTTGCCTTTCTAGTTTTTACTGTACGGAGAAGAAAAAATAGTTTAAAAAAAAAAAAAAGAAAAAAGAGAGGATCTAGAATGGATATTGTGCCAGTTGGGACTCAGTACATTCAGTGTGGCCGAGGTCCTGATACCAACTCAGTCACATACATATTTAAATTCTAAGAATGATTGTTGGCATGGTTTTGGCCTGGGACAACTAGTACTCTCCCAGATTATTTCAGGTCACAGTTTGTGAATTAGTGTTTGTCAGTGATCATTCCAAATAACCAGTATGATTTCAGACATGGTCCTTTGGAACTTGAGTTTAGGTATAGATATAGCCAGACTGAGAGAATATACCTGAGAAGGAGTCCTAGTTATGTTAATTAGGTTAAATGTAGCTATGGATTGCTAAATGTCAGTCTTAATATGGAATGGTTGGAATGCATCAAAGTTGGTTTACTTTAATGCATGTGAGAGAACCTAGTTAAAGTTTTTCTAAGTAACAGTGAAAAAGTCAGACTTACTGTGGGATGGTAGATGTGAGAAGTATTTTTTAAAAATATTTATATGATTATTTCTTTTCTATTTTGGTTCCCTTAGACGTCTTTTTTTTTTTTTTTTGAAATAATGACCTTAAATGTTGGCATCCAGGTTGCTGGTACAATCTTCTCGGCCAGTGTAGTATCACTTTCCATATGGAAAAAACTTGTGTTCCTGGTGGCTCTCTCTGATACAGAGGACGTTTTCCCTGCTTTTGTAAACCAAAATGTGCCGTTCAAAAGGAATCTCTTCAAAGAGATAAACAAAATTAAAACCTTTTCCTCCCCACCCCCACAGTCCTTGAAGCACAGGAACATATTCAAGACAGCATTTCATCCTTGTGTCCAGACAAAAACATATGATCAGTTTGAACGCCTCTCTTCCTCACCCCCTGCCAAGGTTGTAAAGTATTTTGGGATTTAATGAGAAAAGCGTCATCAGCTCTGGAAAAGCATTGAAGACAACAAAATAGGTGGATGTTTATTTTTCCTGGTAAACCCAGGTGGTTCATTTCCAAGGATACCCCATCAAAGTTGTGACAGATGCACATAGAAACAATATTGAAACATGGTGTCCAAATCCACTAGCCAGAACCACTGGGAAGCTTTAGGTCTGCAAAAGCACAAAGATCCTCAGTGGCTGTAACTGCAAATGGAGATTTTGGTTTATTCACAAGTCTAGGATCCAGAAACATCTCTATTCCATGGAAAGTTATTTGCTGATCTGATACTTAGTATTTCAAATTTTTGAGCATTACTACTTTAGTGAGTCACGTTATTCCTTGTAGCATTCTCTTAATGAACTGCCAACTTCTGTAGTCAACTAATGTAGAGGTGAATTCAAGTCAGTTTTACGATAACTCTTTGAAAACTGGTGCAAAATACAATTTTCAAAATGATACCTACTCTGACAGCTGTTGACATGTTCCTAATTGTCCTCCTTTAGAATGCCTACTTGACAATTGCAGCAGCAAAATAACTTTTTTATTCCCACAGACAGAAAATTTTCCATTGTCTAATTTTCATTTGGGATGTGCCTGCCAAATTTTTGTATCATTCACTTCACCTATGCTACATCTGTTCTATTATAGCTTGAACAAATGACCATTAAGAGGTTAGATAGACTGTGGAATAGAGCTTCTTTCCTGAGTGTTTCCCTCCCTTTTTGGGACCTTTTTCATGGCAATAAATTGCAGCATGGCAGTGAGTTGCACACAGTGCAGTAGGTACCAGTTAATCAGAGACAGACTGTTTTCTTGCAAACAAAGGGGCCTTCTGACATTCTGTGTGTTGGAAAACCAGACGTTTGTGACAAGAAGACCAAGTTGAAAATAATGTATTTTTAGTAACTGATATAGTGAGCCTGATTGCTCTATTGTCATTCACTTTGCGCAAATAATGATGAATTCTTTTTGTAAATACTTAAGTAAGTATGTGTACTGCAGTCATTAATAGCACAGGTGAATGATGTTTACCAGGGTCACAATATGACAAGCGATTGGATTGCAGCTAAGAAAAAGGTATCTGTATCTTCTGAATTGTTTGAATGGTAGGATAGGGTCAGGTATTATTTTAGCAAGGTAAATCCTAGCATTGCTTTATGGGACCAACAGTGCTATGCTGGTTTAGACCAGGAATCCTTGGTTATCCTAGTATCCTCTTGGATACTTGCCCAAAATACATGTGGAGGGAAGAAAAAAACCAAAGCAAATATATATGCACTGTTTTTCCTCTAATACTTTCTTGGCCAATGTGTATCAGCTGAAGGACTTCCTGAAGCTGATAAGGTTTGTCTGTTTAGTAACCTGTGATGGATGTCTCTTCCAAATACTTCTCAAATATCCCCTTGACCCCATGTAAATTTTTAGCATCCAAACCATTTTTTTTTGCAAAGTATTATGCATATCTACCATCTGTTGTGTGAAAAGCCACCTCCTTTTCTGTCTTTTGAATCTGGCTCCTACTAGCTTGATTTCATGGTGCCTAGCTCTTGTATTTTAAAAATTGATGAACAGTCACTTCCTTCTTGCCCTCTCTAGGCCACTCTGGAAATATGATGAGTTTGTCTTTTCCAAGTTGTCTCTTGTCCAGATTAATGAGTCATAGTCTACACATTTGTTACGTACGTGGAAGTTACCCCTTCCCTATTTTGGAATGGTGTAAACTGTTCACTTCTGTGTAGTGAACTCCTACATTCTCTGTGTACTGTTTATACTGGAGTTTTATATGCTTTCACTGGTGGGATGATGCATCTCTGTGTCATTATAGATAGAGGTATTTTCTGTTCATAGTATTCTGTTTCTGATACTGATGCTTCATATCTAAAATCTTTTTTGAAATGTTTGACATTTCTAGGAGGCAGGAAATTTGTGTATGTCCTAATGCATCATTTAGGACTTTCAAAGCACTACTTAGAGCTCCAAGGAGTACCTTAACAGTCAAGATAACAGCAACATTTGATGGGGCAGAACTAAGCATATTGAAAACCTCTCGAGATTCCTTGGAACTTGTACTGAGGCTAAAATAAATTCCTATTAAATATAAATATATATGCAGCGGATAGAACTGTATGTAATCATAGAATCACAGAATAGTTGTGGTCGAATGGCACCTCTGGAGATTGTCTAGTCCAACTACCCTGCTCAAAAAAAGGTAGACTAGAGCAGGTTGCTCAGGGCCTTGTTTAGTCAGGCTGTGAATAACTCAAGGATGCAGACTTCCCCAGCCTGCCTGGACAACCCATTCCAATGTTCATTTAAAAATTTAAAAAAAAAAAAATTAAGAAGACAAACACACATTTAAATAGTTTCCTGTATTTCAATTTCTGCCTGTTGCCTCTTTTCACTGGATACTACAGGGAAGAGTCTGGCTCCAACCTTTTTGCACCCTGCCATTAAATATTGATGAACATTGATATGATTCTCTTCCTCCCCCTCTTCCCTCCTCCCCAGCCCTGGACTGAGCAATCCCAGCTCTTTCTGCCTCGTCTCATATGAGAGATGCTCCAAACCCTTAATAGTCTTTGTGATAATGAATTGTATTAGTAGCATTTTACTACCAGATAACGTGAAACCTGTTTTCTTACTCAACAGGACTACACCTGTTCTGTGTCTATGAAAGCTACCTTTTTTTTAATTTGGGCACCTATGAAAGCATTACACATTTTTCCACAGGCTTCAAGGAATGTGCAAGATTTTACACAGTACAGACTTACTATACCCATCTTTAGCTAAGAATTGATAAGAAGTTACTACTAGCATTGGACATGCTGGTACTCTGCTTGAAGAAGAAAAAGAAATAGCTGCTTAGTATTGTAACCAAATGTGTAATTTGTGAACATACTTTCTGACCAATGTGCCATCACAGCTGCTGTTAAATACTTACATTGTGGATTTTTGTAAATTACTAAGTAGTTGGAGTGTGATTAGTACTGCCCCATATCTTTTATAGTATGGAAAAACTATGACATAAATGCACATGCACATTCCAGCTGTACATGTTCAATGTTACTAAAAGAAGTGACCTTCACCAGTTGTCCTACCTTATGCTTTAATGTAGGTGAATATTTATTTCAATAACATTCTTCTTTGTCATTTTAATGTGTGATGTGGTATTTTGGGAATTTTTTTTAAATAATTCTGGCTCCCTTTCACTAACTATACAGTTCCATATAGATGCATTCTACTCTTGTCCTTCTTACACAATATCTAGCATCCTGCATCTGTTAAGTTACAGAGTTCTGATCTTTTTCTTGTACTAGTGACTGTTCTATGTTGTTTTCGAAAAATGAATTAGTGTTTCATGCTGGTGGCGTTCCTGTCTCATTGTTTTATCCTTTATTCTATTCCTCTGCAGGAATATAAATAAGTGCATGATTTTCTTGATACTACTAAGAAACATCATACTAATCTTCAGTCAATTTACTAGTCTGTTAAAAAATAAATAAATAAAAAACCCTACAACAAAACCAAAGTAGAACTGTGTACATCTTAAACCAGAAAAATGTGAACATGCATAATGAAAAGTTTTTTTGATAGTGTGTTCTTTAAAGCTTTCTAACACTTATATTTCCAGGGTTACCTTGAAGAATTGGTACGACTCAGAGAAAACCAGCTATCTGAATCTGTCTCGCAGAATAAACTGCTGTTACAAAGAATTGAAGATATGGATCTAGCCCATAAAATGGAGAAGGAACAGCTGGAATATATCATTGTGGAACTGCAAGACCAGTTGTAAGTTAGTATAATGGAGAAACGTTGTTAGAGCAGTATTACTTAAATTATTTAACGTATTTAAGTATAATATGAAGAACTTCTGGTCATGTGGAAGTGAGTCAAACTTCTTAAAGAAATTGATGTATTTTAGCTGCTTCTTTTGACATGTCTTATACTCAGAAATGTCTCCCCTTAAAACTGCAGTAGTGTAAGACAGAATAATTCTGAGATTAATTTTTTTTAACCTGAAATAGCTTACAGTAAACTTAAATTGCTTAAATTTTTAACAAATTTTTATAAAATGTTCTTTATATTTTATTACTTCCAGCTTTAAGGCTACCCTTTAAAAAAATATTGGAAGCAGCTTCCTTTTGAATACTGTTTTTAAAATGTTAGGCAGGAAAGGATAAAGAAATATTTATTTTCTTTGTATAGATTCCATTTTATTTGCTTGTGGCTCAGACACAGTAGAATTTCATCTGGTAGTCCTAAAAATCTTCAAACTGATGAAACAGTTTGCTACTCACCTTTTCTCCAATGCAAGGTAAAATGCTAAAACAACAGGAGAAGGCTTAATTTTTTAACAGCATGTATGACTCCTAATGTGGTAAATATAGTTTATCTACCCAGCCCTGTCTGTTGAGTAGGGAGGTACTGTCCTTTTGCAGAGACACTCCCTGGTAATGTTTAAAGACCCAGATAGATGGAAGACTCTCTGTGTGGTGATAAATTGCCACAAGACTGCTATAGTATGCATCTGTGGTAATTGTATGTTCTGATCTGTTCATAACAGATACAAGATAAATTATTTTACCTTATATCTGGAGTAATTTGTTTGTGTCTGAGCCCTGAAGTAAAGTGGAAGTAATCTGTGGCCTTTGAAACAATACAGGATGAAGAGAATATAAAGATGGCTTTGGGGTACTTTGGTTCCCTCTGCCTAATGTCTGACAGAGTCACCACCCAGAAGGGTCTTTTCTATGCAGTAAAAAGTACTTCTAGCTTGTAAACAAAGTCATTTTGGTTTGTATTGTCTTTTTTTTTTTTTTCCTTTCCTCTCTCACTGTCTTGTGGTAGGTAATTTTATTGCCAGTGCTTGAAATGGATTTTATGAAAATCCTCAGGAATACAGCATTTGCGTTTTATTTATGCCAATTTCAGAGTTGAGGGGAAAAAAAAGATGTTTTTCTGAGTCTTTTCTTTTTTTTCTTTTTCTGATTGCCTGTCAGCTTTTGAGATACCTGTTCTTGAGTTCTTTTTCTGAACTTGCTGATATAGCTAATGATTCATGTTATAATTCTTTGGCCTCCCTGATTATTTGGGGGAGGTGCGGGGAAGGTGTAAGCTCATTTAAACCCACTCTGATACTTGGAAATTTTGAATGTTCAGACCTGCTGTTAATTTTTAGCTGAGCTATATGCAGTCAAACTAGTCTAAAGATCTCAGTCTTTGGCATTTGATTTTTGTTTGCTGGCTTTCTTACGTAAAGGCTCAAATTGTGGAGCAGTTTCTGTTGTATCTTGACAGTGTGTTCTTGTATAGCTGTTTGTGAGACACTGCAGTCAGGAACCTGGACTACACTAGATATTTGGAGAGAGAGAGGTATAATTTTGCATTGTTATTTCTGTGAGTTTAGCATGACTGTCAGATGAACTCTTCTTAAAGTGTGTTAGGAACTCATAGTTCCTTATTGGGGGTGAAGGAAGGGAAGAACTATTCTTAGCAGGTTTCTGATGGTCAACGCCAGTCATAATTAACATCTTGTAATCATTCTCCCTCCTCTCTCCTCCCCTCCTCTCTCCTTTTTCTCTTTTCTTTTTTTTCCCATTCTTATGTTTTTTATTCTAACCTGGCAGCAGAATATGCTGTATCATTAATGTGTCTGCAATGAGGCATGAGTTTTGGCCAATTGCTTTTTATGGTCCAGCTGTTTTAGAATGGTGTTCACGTAATCCCAAATCTTAGTGTTTTGCTCCCCTACCATTTGTAGCATTTTGAAGTAGTGAATGTACGCTATAATCTTTTTGAATTCTTTATCAGCAGGTAAGAGCAAGTTTGGGATTGTAATTCTGCCTGAGACATACTATATTACTGTTTGTAAAACACTTTGAGATCCGATTTAGGATCATTTGCTGTGTAATGGAAACTATTATAAATAAACATTCTATATTTTCTTTTTAATGATGCTTTTCTATTCCACTGGCTGTTGTTGTTAAGGTAGCAAGTTCTACCACTGCATATTTCAGTTGGGTATTTGTTGATGTTTCCAAAATGGTATTTCACAGGCATGCAAGTCAAAATGTTTTACATATATTCTCAATGGATCTGGGCAGAATCCAAGTTTATGTCTGGTCTGCCTTCCCTACTCGCCCCCCCTCCCCCCCCCCCCCCCCCCCAAAAAAGGAGGGGCATGGGGAATAGAGATCTGACTTTCATGACAGTATACATTGTTATTGTTGCTGACTTCGAAACCAGGTAACACTAGTGATCAACAAGGCCTTCAGGTTATAAATTAGTTTACCTACAGATAAACTTTTCCATGTTCACACTTAATAAGGCAGTTTGCTGTAAAGCATGAAATAAATATGGAGATAGGAGATTGGAGAAACCTGGAAGTAATTTTTATTTTACAGCTGCTATGCAAAACAATGTTCTACAATTTTCAGTTTTCTTAACTTTGTCTCACACACTTGAGTATCCAAACTGCAATGAACGACACAGTTTTCAATTTAGTTAAAAGCCATTTCATGGATCTCATGAATCCAATATCTGGAAAATAGTGAAGCTGAAAATGTATCAAATTAGTTCTTCACAAAGGAATAACATTTTTTTTGTGTCTCTCAACTTAATTGGATTTCTTCGTAATATGCTTATCCATCTGGGGACTGGATGTCTCATGTTGTTGGCAGGTATCTGATGGCAAATCAAGTTAAGTGAAACTGCAGTAGACCACCTGATCATCAGTCAGACACATTTAAACTAATGCACAGCTGATCAAGAAGAAGGATCAGACTAGATATTAGGAAACATTTCTGTACCAAGAGGGTGGTCAAACACTTGAACAGGCTTTCTAGAGAGGTGATCAATGCCCCATACCTGTCAGTGTTTAAGAGGCATTTGGACAATGCCCTTAATAATACGCTATAACTTTTGATCAGCCCTGAAGTGATCAGGCAGTTGGACTAGATCATCGTTTTAAGTCTCTTCCAACTGGAACTATTCTGTTCTATTCTAAGAACAGCTTGCTCTTCTACCACCCTTTTAGCATCTCCAGATGAAGTGATTGCCTAGTGATATGTGTCAATTGTAATAATGATGAGGCGTATTCTGACTTTCATTTGCGTTCTTCAGAAGTGTTTGCCATCACTGGGACATGTTTTTGCCTGGGACTTGTTGTGGTTGAACACTAGAGAACAGTACTTTTGGCTCCACTCTTCTATAGAAATAGTGTATTTTTATAGTGAGGGTGGAGCAGTTCTTAAGGCCTTAAAGTGCTTAAAAATAACAGCTCACAGGAGGACAGCCAAGAGAAGCCTGTGATCCATGGCATGTATAACTGAAGAAAACAGTTTGAATTCCGTAACATTCAAAATGTGATGGGAGAGGGATCCCAGATCATCAAGGAACTGTATCCTGGAGTATTCAGAATTCACAGAGGCAGCTATTTCTTCCTCCTCTAAGATCCTGCAAAGAAGTGTTGAATGTCTCTTGGAGCAGAGAGACATTTGATTGTGTACCCCATCAGTACAAAAATTCTGAGCACACCCCTCTAAGATAGGTATATTTATTTATTTATAAATTATATACATGTACTACTGTACTAATATATGATGTACATTATAAAACATACACAAAATAGAAATGAAAAAGGATGAGATAAAGATGAAATAAACACTTTTTTTTTTTTCATTTATTAACAGTACAAAAAGTATTTTCTTCCTGTACCCCAAAAGTTTGTCTTGCACACCACACTTTGGAGACCACTGCCTTGAAGGACTAGTTACCCAGTCAAAGAAGTGACTGGGCAAAATTGGAACTTTTTGCCCACAACATCATTGCATTAAAACTCTTTATCTCGGCTTAAACACAATTTTTTCCCTCTTAGGGTGATTCTTAGTCTTTCTTTTGGCTTACACACTGTGTGTGTCTAAGGCAAACTCTGCTGATCTTTGAAGTTCAGATTCTGCATCTGAAATTGATATTTATATATGTTAAATATTGATGTATGATTACAAGAGAGATTCCATCAATTTCCTGAATAGTGGCTCATCTCCTGCATAGTGACTCACTGATGTTATAAAAGCTAATCACTTTAACAAAAAAATATTTTTAAGTAAAGTGATAAGGAATAAGGAAAGCATTGTATACAAAGGCAAAAAAACCCTCAACTTAAAATGCTTTAAATTTTTTTTCTTCTGCTGTGATTTTTGTTGAAATGACAATACTGATTTGCATAATGTTTCCCCACATGGGTTTCCTCCTAAGGTATTTTTCAGGTTTTCAGGCTGGTGTGCCTTGTGTAAGATGATACAGCCCCTTTGTCTCAACTGGTGCAATATTTTAAATTTTTTTTTTTTTAATTTATCACATGTATTGAAAATGTATTTCTTGGATTCAGTGGCTATGCTATATTTTATACTGCTCTGGTTTTTATCTCCCTCTGCTGTTACTTCCTATATCCCTGTCTTGTTCTGACGTTTTGTGGAGGGCCATGTGGAGGGAAGGAAAGTCAAGAAAACTCTTCAGTGTTTGGAATTCTGTCTTTGGTTATGGCACAGATAAGACTCAAGTTAAATTGTAGGGACACTCACATCTTACATTGTATTAAGCTTGTCTGTATAATTAAGAATATTTTGTATATTTTAGCAAGTGTTAAAGCTAGATTTGTTTAATTTGTCTGGCTGTTACTTCAGAATTGGTCAGTCTTTTCAAGGCCCAAACAGTGCTTGTACTCTATTCTTAATATTTTAATATAGTTGTCTGATAGATCCAGGAATACTGCAGTTCCTATCTGGATA